TGATTGTTCTTTCTCTTGCTCAATTTGTCTAACTGTAGGCTTTTGTCTCTCCATATTGAGGCTAACACCCCTTCTCCTCCCATAATTCATCAATTCCTAGGCCATCTCTCCCTACATCAGAGGTCTTCCCCAAAGGGTTAATGCATCTTTACAATTGGTCTTGCAACTGAATTGCATACATTTTTAAGGAATTTCATACTAATACTGTACTAACTGGCAGTCATGCATTAGTTGGATACAGTCAATCTTCTGAGTATTTTCTGTTGGAGCCCCCATGCTTGACATGGGGATTCTTATGTGGTCTCCCCTTTCCAGGGAAGATAAACCCCTTGCCCATTAGGCAGCTCTCTGGGTGAGGCACCTGGGTTCACCCTGAACCAGGATCATTTAGCATTAGGAAAACCTCTGGTCCCTAGTTTCTCTCGGGGTTTTCTCTTCTGATAGGAGGATACTGTCCCCACTAGTTAAAACATATTCTGTTTCTGACTCCTGTGGTTGCTTGCCATACTTCTCTTGGAGTTTTGCTAAACTCTCAGCTGAATACAGCACTGAGTTTGTAGTTATTTCCTTCTTCTCATCCTCCCTACCCTCCACTACTTCCATTTTAATTAGAGGTCACATTGCTACTTGTTTCCTGTGCATGGTCTCCCTGTGCTCATCTAATTCCTTACTGGGTACAGGGACAGAGAGCTTAGTGTTTCGTTAGTCACTCTCTCTAAGTTTTGCAGCCTTTCACTTGCTAACTGCTGCTGCAATTTCTCAACTAATTCCTTAACTGAGATGCTGTCCAAGATCTTGTACTCCCCTCACTAGCTTCTTATCCCTGCTAGGGTACCTATGTCACTCAGTATATTCTCCCACTCTGAAGCCTTACAAAGTTCAAGGTGCATTCTTCTGATAAGGCCTCTTTCCATATTAAGGAGGGATTCCAATTTCATTCTTTCATTTTGTTCTCTATCTAGACATTTTTGTAAGGGGTCAGCCAAATCTTGTAAATGTTTTTGTAAAGAGTCAACAAAATTTTGTAGGAATTTGTTTCTCTCATCTTGCTGTCTATCCAAAGATTTTAGTAAGGAGTCATGAATCCTTTTATCCTTTTATCAGCACAACACACAATACTCCACATTTGAAGATGAGGATGGGGTAAGCATTGTCCACGAGTGGAGAGTGGTCAAGATTTGGCATTTCCTGGGCTACAGTATCTTGCTCTACCTTCTTGCAGATCCAGAGCCATATTCCACTGGCAGTAGAACAAAACTCTCACATTTATCTACCTACTTCTTCAGGTCTCTTCACCTAGCTTTTGAAAATAAATTTTTTTATACTTTAGAGGCATATTGCAGCTAGTATGCTCTACGGCAGTCTAAGAAAAGGGTATGTGGTTTAATCTACCAGTCTCTTTTGTGCCTGTGATACAAGATTGTTTTGCACTGTTTTTGTGCAGACGTTTTAACCACAGAGAGGTTGCAGGCAAGGAATGTTATTTTTTAAAAATAAAAATAGGCCTTAGACTTCTAGTCAGACATAACAAAAATTGCAGTAATTATATCTAGACTACATACTCCTTTCTTTATTAAGTCAAGAAGTTTGTGTTGTTTTGTTCCTTTCAAGGTTAGGGTGTTTTGCATGTCTTCAGACATTAAACAGATTTTTCATGTGGTGGAAAAGGAAAATAATGGCATATATCTTAGTTGATACCAGCTGGCCATGAGCATTTTTTGTGTGTGTATACCACACTTAATACTAGCAAAATACTTACCTTAATGAACCAGGTCAGCTGGAGGAGCTGATTAGCTCATACTGTTCTTTCTGGATTGGGGCTGTTTGTTCAGCAAAATGTGATTGTGTTTTTCCCAGAACTTCTGAGCAACATCATCTGGTTTGCAGACTCTGAGGTATTACCATTTCAGGATCACTAGTTACACATCAAGGGGATATTTTGCAAGTTACTTTATAGGATGCATTTTTACTTAGTTTTGTTATGTCTACAGAGTAATGCAGATTGCTGTAGGACAGCTGTAGTCGGTTACTTTCTATAAATGCTGCTGCACTATTTCTGGTACTAAAAAATAATTATGATGCTTTACAGTTGACTCTGGCTGCTGTAATACTAATGTGGAGAATGTGGAAGACATCTGTTGTATCTGTGAATGTGACTCATTTGCCTAACTTTTCTTATGTCATGGGTGGTTTCAGTTCAGGGGTCAACTCTTCCTTCAGTCTGTCCATCTCGGAATATGAGCAGTGAGGTTGTGTCTTCCTCTTCTAACGGTAGACACAATAAAGCAGTAATTGGCCAAAATATTTTCCTGTCTTAAAATTGAAGCTGGATACTTCAGCCTTTCTGTTCTTTGTCTGGAATCTCAATATTTTTGTTAAATATTTATTGAAAGTAATTTCAACACATTCTGTACATTTTAGACACAAAAAGTGAAAGCATGCCCTTTCTTTGTCAGGTGTGGTGTCATCCTGCACCAGTCAGTAAGAAACAGCCTTGAGGCAACATCACAACATCACTAGTTGTGATGGAGTTTGTGTTTTGGATTTTTGTTTGTTTTTTTCCTAAGTACAGAGAGCTTTTTTTCTTGACACTGTTAGAGTGCAGAAGTTCAGAAAATTTGGTTTTGAAACAGTTCTATGATTAGGGTGATTGTAGGCTTTCATGCATGCTCCCAAGTTGCTTGTCTAAATATTTTAACTTTAGTTTGTTACTACAGGCCATGCAAAAGTGGTTCTTTGTTTCCATTTTAATGTTTGAACTCATTAATTAAATTAGGTGATTGAAAAAATAATTTATTGATAGTTGTGTTTATTATGGCAACCTCCAGTTTTAATGGAATGGTACTTCAAATGGTACTACTGGGATGCAGAAATACTGGTTTGACTTTCTAAATACTTAGGGATAGTTAATATCTGTGTGCTTTTTTTTAAATGGTTACATACTGTAGGCTTGTTACATTGCTCACTTAAGTGTTTCTAGTCTCCTTGAAAACTGATTCATATAAATATCTAAAAGAAACTGGAGCTCTGTTGCAAGAGAAAAAGAAGGAAAAACATTGAAAAAGATGTGAGAAATGCAAAAGGAAGCAACATGTTTAAACCAAGAAATTTTAATGTAGAGCTTGCATTCTGCCTTGGAGGGAGAGAGGGCATCTCGGCAGGGAAGAATATAAATGTTGGGAGACATCATGTTTCTTTTGTAACTACAAATTCTTGTAGAAGGGCAAGAAAGGGGAAGGAAAGTTTTGGGGTTTGTTGTTACTGCAGAACACATTCCTTTATTTCATAATACTGTGATAAATGCTGCGGTCATGGATAAGGCTGGGGCCATTATGCAGCTTTTTCCTTACTTCTGACTGGACTAGATACTAAGCATTGCCGGAGTGGGGGTCACTGTTGCCAGTCTTGTATCCTGCAGACAGTGCATTAAAAAAAAAATGAATAAAAGAGATGATAAGTGAGGAGTTAGTAATTTAAAAGAAGCTGGTGCCTGCCTTCTGCAAGAGTCTTGCAAGGTCTTCTGATATTTTCAGGCATGCTTCATCAGTTATTTTACAAGGACAAAATTAGAAGATAAATATTGCTCGATTTCAAGAACAACATCTCCCACCAAATCAAAGCTCATCTAACCATTTTCTTTGAAATGCAATAGTGTTGAAAAAAATTCATTGCTGGGGAACCAGTGAGCATATCAGTGTGCAATTTGGTCAGTACTGTATGTGTGGCAGCAAAAGTTAACTATGTTAGGGCTCAGAGTTATGACTCTGGAATAATGAGAATAAACCATTTGTTGAAATGCCTTTATTTTGTGCCTTCCTTTGTGCTTTAGTTTCATTATTACCTTAACAAGAAAAAAGGGTTTAGTAGGAAGAAAGAAGACAAAACTTGTTTCTTGTTGAAATAGTACATCACTTGGTACACATATAATCCCTGTGATATTTCTATCATGTTGCTTTTTTTTTTCCTTGCAGAGAACCTGTAATCACATAATAAAATATTAACAGCACTGCTTTTAAAAGATTTAGATCCTAGCTTGAGCATATGTATGTGGTGAGTTCCTGTATGTACTGTGAATGTATAATCAATATAGTTGTTCTAGTCTTAAAATAAAATGTGGTGTTCCAAGCACACACTGTAATTAGATTCTACTTACAGAGAGGTGTGTTAAAAACTATTTTGCAAAAGCTTATGTGTACTGTACTGAGAAATATAGTTTTTCTACTTTGTTGTATGGGACGGAATGTGGTTACTGTTCATGCAGTCTGGAAGTCCAGAGCGTTCCTTGCATTCTGACTTCCTTTATTGGTTTGGTTGTGGATTTTTTAAATGATACATTTTATACAAATAACTAATCTAAGAGTAGTTCTCCTGGCATGCAGAGCTACAGCTGCATTTAGTGTCTTTTATGATTATTTTCCCCTCACAGCTTCCCCCAGAACTTTGTGGAAAAAAAACCAAAGTATTGCAGTGGCTGACAAAATCTTAATTCATGTATATTTATTCAATGCATAGATTGTCACTATTGGATAAACACAGGATTTGAGGGTACTGGTAATGACTAGTCCAAATAGTACTGTAAGGTCTAGGTTTTTTTCTTACCTATTTTGCTCTAGTGGGCCAGGACTGTATGTGAATGTAATTAAAAGTGGAGGTTCATAGAATCATCACATGTCTTGGGTTGGAAGGGACCTTAAAGATCTTAGTTTCACTCCCCTTATATCACAGAATTATTTTTTTCAAACATATTTTTAAAATAATGTATTTAACTAGAATTGTCAAGCAGTTTATTTTTCTGGTGGTGTTTTTTTTGTTTCTGTTAAAAAAAAAGCAAATCTCAGGAATTGTCATACTGATGAGATGGGCATATTCCTTGATGCTGGGTATTAGCTCTGAGGTGGGGGAATGGGATATGGCCTCATCTTAGTTCAGTAGGATGGTGATACCTTACATAAAACTTTTAGTAACATTAGCTATTGCATTTTTATTTCCCTCCTCTGCAGAGAACAAGTAACTCTGGGGACCCTGGAGTGTACCAGTTGGATGTTACTTTAAGAAGAGGACAAAATCTAGCTGCCCGGGACCGTGGCGGTAAGTGTGCTATTAAACACTGCCATAATGATTAGGAAGCTACATGTTCATGATGTAAATTTATATGAGGGTATTAAAATTACAATTAAGCTGTGAGTTGTAAGTGTGTTAGTACAGCTCAGCTTAAAACTTTGTAGTTCTTTGGCTCAAGAGCATGAAGTGAAAGGAGCTAAGGCCAGTTAAGCCCACACAGGTGGAGTAATAAGATTTAACTAATATTGGTTTAATACTTGTGCTAGACAATTTTCCTCTCTTTTTTTAATATTTTAAAATGAGAAAGGGTCAGTAGATTTATTTTAACCATGTGGCTTTGTGCTGTCTTGCTTGCACCTGTGCTGTCTTGATGTATGTTTTATTCCTTGACTGCTTAATTGATAAACACTGGAGCTGTGTTTAAAAACAAAACCAGTAAAACCTCTGTATTGAATGTGTCTAGGCTTTGCCTATTGTTGACTCTGCCAATCTCATATTAGCATTTTTGAGTCTGCTCTCCAACATGTATCACACACATAGTTTAGATGTAGAAAGGATTCCTAAGAGGTGTATTTGTTGAACACAACTTAGTGTCTTTGTCCATACAACTGCAGCTCATATTTAATATTAGTTAAGTCAGTAATCCACTTTCTGAACAGTGATATAAATATGATAAATCCGATTAACAGCATATATGGATTACCTGTAATACATTTCCTGTGAGATAGAAGAAGCCATAATAAATATTTAAAATAAATAGTATTGCACAGGACCTTTCCATGCTTACCTGATAAAGTTATATGACTGCTTTTAGATCTCAAATATGGTAGCAGAAACCTAGATAGCTGTTTACATGAATAGGAAATTACTTCACTGATACTTATGTCACTGAAGCTGAAGTTTTGATACACTCACTATTGCAAGAATAAACTTTTCTTCCTCTAGGTATATTGATATTCTGCCAAGGTTTGCTTGACGTTCGTTAAATACAGACATTCAAATGTTTTGTTGCATGAGCTAGAGAGACTTCCTCAGTTTCTGAATGATGTGTTGAAATTAAGTCACATCCATTATTCATATTATTTACAAATGGATAAAAAATTGAATGTAAACATCATTATTCATATGCAAGGAAGACATATGTACTTTTTTCTCCCACAATAGAGGAGTTTAGGTCTAGACTAAATAAAGAACAGGAGATCTGATTCCTGAGGTGGAAATACCAGGTGCTGTATAAAATGTCAAGTGCTTTAAAAGGTAATTTCAGGAAACTGCTGCTTCAGCAGCAAGGAAACCTCTTAAAGCTAACTGGAAGGCAACATGGCAAGAGTGGTATTTTCTCAGTGCTTATTATTCCCAGAGCCCAGAATCAAGGGTTGCAGTCTTCTCCTACCCTGTTTCAGAGCCAGTAATTTGCTTTGGATGGTATATACCTATAACATTCCAGAAGGCTGTGCAAGTACTGGTTCTCCTTTTGAAAAGGTACAGGAGAAGGTTGTTGGGCTCTGGAACCACAAAGTAGTCTTGTAACTTGAAATCTTACCAAAAAAGCAAGATGCATGGATTATGTTTTGCTCCTTTCCTGAATTTTTTCTTGTCCCTGAAGAAGCTCAGCACTCCCATCTTGACCAACCAAGGGAATGTTTTACCAAGCCACTGCAAGCTTGTCAGGAAGGAGAGTGTACTTTGCACTTTAGTGAAGTACAGATTTTCCTTCAGACCAGGTGGATACTACAGATGTGCTCCCTTCTGCATTGAAGGTTTAAGATCTCAACTGGGTTTGGACCTCCAAACTGAGCTTTTGTTTTTTAAGAGCAAAATACAGAAACTGCACTTGGTACTAGGACATCAAGCTAGGACCCATACACTTATGACTGAATGTCCTGGCTCCCATCCACTGTGTTTTCCTTTATGGAGCTACTTGGAGTGAGTTTTTAGGAGCACCTGCAGCATTTGAACTGAGGAGACAGTACAGACATTAGTCAGGCACTCAGTGGATTCGGACGGCAGCTCAATAGGAAGTGTACAGAAAGGGACTTGATTTGGGTAGTCAGTTTTGTCTAAATAATTTTTAAACTATAATAGTAGCCTTTTATATTAATTGTTTAATATATCACTAATGATTAATATATCTGGTGGTGTTTCACTAAGAAACTGGGCATGTAAAACTGATTTCTTACTGGAAATTTTTGTGGGTGCACAGGAGATTCAGTGAAGATAAATCTACAAAAGGCATTGAAATGCACAGAAACACATCTAGCTTGGAAGGTCTGTGCTGCAAATTCTTGATGTCTGGGAGGGCATTGGAAGGATGTAGTATATGTATGTGTCCTCCTGTTTGTCTATTAGCATCTGCTTACAGCCCTCATGGAGACAAAGCACTGCACTCACAGGACCTTTGCTCTGGGCTAGTATCAGTGTTTCTGTGGCACTGTCAGCATGCTCCAGCAGTGCTCATAGCAGATATTACAACGCAGAAAGTGATTAGAGGACAGTCCATGAAAGGCACGGTGTAAGAATGTATATCCAAATGCTAAATGGAGCTACTGAGACAGATGTGATATATATTAAAACATCTTGTAATATTTACCCCAGGACTGTCTTAAAGAAGTCTTATACTGTAAGTCTGTAACAGAATGTAACACCTGATTCTTCCAAAATCTTTCTCAGATCCTCCGCTCAAGACTGACAGTTGAATTTTCTCCAAATACAATGAATTTCACTCTAAAATAATCCTTGAATTCCAGTTCAGTTTTAGCTTTCTGTTCTTCAGTTCTTGAACTGCAGTTTCACATAACTTTTTTAAAAACCTGCTGCTTGGAATTTTAAAAACCTTGCAATCTTGGAATTCAAAGTTGAATTCTCAAGTCATGAATGTTCTGCACAATTTTTCTTCCTCAAATTTATAAAAAGAGATACCACAACATACTCAGAGGAATAGGGGCTAGATTAAAGCTATTATTTATGTGGCTAGAAATACCAGCATTAATCATAGCTATTATTTGATAAATGGCACCACTGATAGTCATAACAAAGGAGGAACAGAACATTCTTCATGAGAAGACCAGTATCTTGCCGTTGTCTTCTCAAAGGACTGAATATACTTCATTATAACAGACAGTATTATGTTCAGGAAACTTCCCTTGTCCAGCCATGGAGGAGGCACTCTGACAGTCACACTAGCATCACTTGAACTAGGACCGAGGCCCCTTTGCAGCTACACACCCCACACTCACACACTCAGACCAGGTTTTGTTACCAGCTCGACCCTAGATTTCCCATGGCAGAGTATCAGACATCCTGATCATTAAAGTAAATTGATCTTGGTGCAATAAGTAAATCACAAAATAACAGCTTGAGCTGGGTGTCTGCAAGGAGGGAGGATCCCAAACAAGGAAACCCTGGGCTTTTATATCGTTACAGTCCAAGAGCCTGTGGGTCATCGGCTCCTGCTGCGTCTGTGAGTGTCTGGTCCCAGTGCCTTTTGTTATGCAAAGGGTCAGCAGTTCATGGCCTGCTTACATTGCAGCTGCACACTCTGAATGTATTGCTCAATAATGCTATGTTGTGTGCAGTATGACAGAAGGAAATGTAAGCTTCATTTTAGCTCTTCGTCTTCACTACAATCCTGTCTTCAGTCCTTCCGTGTACCCTGCAGCTGTGGTACCATAACTTCACCTAAGCTACGTGATGAGACAGTTTACATTTTAGCTTCTGGCAAAATCCTGTAGTAACCTCCGATGTTTATAACATATTATCATGGTTTAACCCCATCCAGCAACCAAGTACATGCAGTCACTTGTTCCCTTCCCCACCACAGGGATGGGGGAGAGAACTGGAAAAGTAAAAGCAAGAAAATTCATGGGTTGACGTCGCGGTCGAAGCGGGGAGGCGACATGGGTTTCAGGATACCAGCAGCTTTTTTATTGCAACAGTACAGCTACCTTTATACAGTTCTGGGGTGACACATGTACACACAGCATTGGTTTACCACTTCATAACAACTCATGATTGGACATACAGCCACATGTCCTAACACAATAGGCTGACATTCTAACAGGAAACCCACTGTGTCACAGTCCTACTGTCCGTGGTTAACCCTCTGCCAGGTGTAAGAAGTTCCATCTTCAGTATCTCAATTTACTGAGAGCCCAGAACCAGCTGGGCTCCCCAACAGGTTGAGATACAGTATAATAGGTAAAGCAAAAGCTCCACGTGCAAGAAAAACAAAACAAGGAATTAATTCACTGCTTCCTATGGGCAGTCGGGTGTTCAGCCATCTCCAGGAGAGCGGGGCATAAGAGTTACTTGAGAAGACGAATGCCATCACTACAAGTGTCCCCTACCACCTTCTTCCCTCTCACTTCACATACTGAGCATAATGCCTTTTGGTATGGAATATCCCTTTGGTCAGTTAGGAGTCAGGTGTCCTGGCTGTGTCTCCTCCCAGTTTCCTATGAACCCTTGGTATCCTCACCAGTGTGCCAGTACAAGAAGTGGAAAAACCCTTGGTTCTGTGTAAGCACCGCTCAGCAGTAACAAAAACATCTCTGTATTATCATCACTGTGTTCAGCACAAATCCAAAATGTAGCCCCATACTACCTGCTATGAGGAAAATTAACTCTTTCCCAGCCAAAACCAGCATACATATTTTTAAGAGCTTTTTCTGCAGTTAAAATTTTTGGGTTTAAAAGTCCCTTTTGATTTGTTGCTGGTATCTGACTGCTTGTATGTGGAGTTTATGTGGCTACTTTATTTTGGTAGCATATCTTTACAGATGTTTGCAGTATCTTAAATGGATTTTTAAAGCAAACAAAAAAACCACTATTTATTTTTGCTTTAAAAGAGGCTCATTTTGAGAGATGCAAACTGAAATGTTATAGCACAGTGTGTGAAAAGGGGAATTACCTCTTAGTCATTGGCTTTCTCTGATTCTCTTTGGTCTAAAGAAAGACATCAAAATATTCTTTTAAGTGTTTTAAGTGTGCTTTCCTCCCAGGTGTCTCCTTGCTTCGGTGGAGCATGT